GGAATATGTAGTAAAATATTTGATGTTATTTAATTTTAAGCCCCAAAGTAACATTTAAACTGACGTACTTTTCTTGAAGACAATTTATTTTGGAAAACTGTATCTGCTATTCTTCATGAAAATCAACACAGAATATGTATGTATGTTTGTTCTTTGTAACGGGAGCTTCCGGGCACAGTATATAAATTATATTACCTAATACTAGGTGACTAAACCGAAGGCCTTCAAACCATTAAATAATCGACATTCTTCGGTAATCTAAACTTCCGATTTTTGCTTTTCCCCAGGTGGTCTCTCCATCGTATGAAGATGAAATGAGACAAAATTGTTCGCCTCAGAATGAAATAAAGTCAAGGGAAACCTGTCGTCAGAAGACGAGTGCAAATCAATCTACCAAACTGTCTAATATATTTATTTTCACATGTTTTCCTTTCCACCTTTGTAATACTCAGCTCCTGAAATGAAACAGCGACACGGAAAATCGTCTGCAACCTCGTCTCTACTTTTTCATCTTATACACCCATTCCCATTACAATGTGCAGATTTATAGATTTACTTATTCATTTATTTATTACTTGATCACTTAATTTCCTTGTTTTCTAGCCAGTCTACACTCCGGTGTGCTTACTTCTAACGAGTTATTTTTTTCTATTTACTAATTATTTTTTCACTATTAGTACGAACCATTCCTAGAAATTTCCTAATTCTTTCATGGAGTGAGACCTTTACCTCCTAACACGACCTAGGAAATATTACGTGTCAATCTCGAAAGAAATAGTTTCCCAATCCTATCTCTTTTTTTTTTTTTTTTTTTTTTTTTTTTTTTTTTTTTTTTTTTTTTTTGTCCATGTCTCGATGGGACATCGATTTAGGAGGATGTGAATCCAACCTTCCACAGCACAACCTTCCAAATCACACAGATGAGCCATGTAAGTATTTCAATGAATGTTGCATTCCTCCCCGGTCCTGAACCAGAGGCCATTCTTAGTGCGTAAATATAACTTTAACCGATACCGGACTAGAGTAAATGTGTATCACAAGCCAGTGTCAGACGTTACTGACAGGATACTTTGTAGTTTTTATATTCGGAGGTCTCTTAGAAATTAACCATTCTGCCCAAGGGAATCACCCGACTGCATCCCTCAGTCAATTTTTCCTGGTCCCCGCTAATCCCTTCACCTTTTAATGCCAGAGAAGTCTTACCCGACTGCATTCCGTTTCATCTGGTGTTTCGGAAAATGTAAAGTTTGTTTTCGGAAAAACTTAAGTTTGCATTCATAAGTGTCGCACATAGATGTTCTCGCACTAGTCCAGAGAATATCTCGAAGTCAGGAGAACACGACAGAAATCTTTGGAATTGTGTGCGGTAAGTGAGGAGGGCAAGAAGATGCTGAGATATGAGGTCTCAAGTTTTGTTTTCACAAACTTTGAAGCGGTGTTTTTGGACGTTGGCAATGCTTTAAAAGGGCACGCAATTGTTTCGTGACAACTGACAGAAGTGGACGAAGGGGCCCACGGGGGAGCGTAGACATCAATCCTTCACTGAGGAGGAAACGGAACGGGATGCAGCAGGTCACGGCCTTTGCGTGGAGATAGGCAAACGCCTAGGAAAAGTTGACCGCGGGATGCAGTCGGCACACGCCTGTTCTATCTCGCCCCCCCCCCCCCCGATTGCTCCCACAGAGGTGTCGCTCAGATCCATGCGTTCTAATGAGCTTTCTTCAATTACATAGCTGTATGCGGACTTAAAAATACTTTTAAAATTTTGCGATTTACGAGGATTAAGACGTAACAGTGACAATTGCACTTGGGTCGTCATTAAATGTGTAATCTGCACGTGTATAATGCATTCCGCTAATACATTTGTAGAAAACATTTTCGAGCTTTCTTAGAGTACATTTTGAAAATATTCAATGGATTTATGTAATGTTATATCCCCCAAAATTAAAAGATTCGTTTCAAATACGCAGGGTCTCTAGTCGGGCTATATCCATTGAGAAATATTCAAATTACAAAACAAAACCAATAATAATTTTAATAATTTTAATAATAATAATAATAATAATAATAATAATAATAATAATAATTTGAATTCGTAGGAACATCATGCGAATCAGAAAATATACGAAATTCATGTAAATTAATTAAAAGTCAGTTTAATGAAGGCCTTCATTGAAACATTACTTGCATAATTTTATGCATAGTGTTCGTGCCAGGTATATACACCTCCCGCGCACGTGGTTCGGCCTTTGATTTCCACTGCGCACGTAGTGCTTGTGTTATGTACCGAGAGAATCGGCGCGCGCGCGGTAACAGGATTCATACAAAATTTTTGAACTTGTTTCGAAGATATGGTGATCGCACTCCAACGCTTTGCAACAAGCACTACTGTTTGGACACGTTTTACACAAATAAAATTATTTTATTTCGAAAATATCTCTACCCTAGTATACATTTTAATAATGAACATTCTCCCTCACACACACGTATTCATAACAGTGCTCTCGGACTGTAATTTAGTCGTAATTGCAACCGGAAATATGCACTCACCGTGAGAGACAGAAAGGGACTTCCTTCCAGAACGGCCAGCTTTACACAAAGATGTCAAGTATTCATTTTGAATCAATAAACCTGATATCAAATAAAACACAACTATTCCAAACATCATAAATAATGAGTTCAATGCCGTCAATAGTTGACTGTACTTGCGTACTCTCATTAACCCGCGAAATTCATTCAATTAATTTAGAGCAAGTGTCAGACGAAGACAGAAATTTGGTATTCTCCCGGATGCCGCGCAGCGCTCGGCGACAATACACGCAGGTTTGGCAACCGAAGGCCCAGTTTAGCCATGTGTCGAAGCGAAGAGCCAAGGCGTGACTTGGTGCAACGCCTGAGAGAGCAACGGACCACAGAAAAATATTCTTCCATGACCACTCACCGGAGAGGGCGCTCGTTGGTTCAACTGATTCCATATGCATCGATATTGTAGAAACATCTTCAATAGTGAATGTCATTAAAACGAAAATGCTATATTTATAACATGTTATACAATAGTTTCCGATTATCTGGGGGTTGCGCAATCTAAGCACAAAACGCCACTAATATTAATATCCATGTATTGTGAATACAGACAAAATTACGAATTAGAGAAAGTATTTTCTGTATCAACGAGCAAGAAGTAATACCCACTTTTACGGTTTCACTGGGCCACAAAACGAATTCTTCAGAAAAAATAATATGGTGGTGACTTAAGATGAAGGGTGATATTGTTTAAATTGCAATGTGCAGAACAGAAATTTAGAGTTAGGATGAAAAAAAATGGAGAGAGTAGGAAAAAATATTACAAGTCAGTGGTAAGACTAGGAACCACTTGTGCACCGAATATTTTTACTGAGGAAAAAAATTATTACTTAAAAAATTGGAGATAAAATCAGGTACCGGAGCTATCAAATATGATAAGAAAAGAAAAATGGATGAAGGCCGATAGGACTTAAAAATCGTGTTTATTGTAAAGGGGGGAGAAGAAAAAACTAGCAAAGAGATGAAGAATTATTGCAGAAACATGGAAGGAAAAGTAATTGTTGGCTAGGAATGAAGAAAGAAAATCTGAGTGTGGCAGGATAGGAACTTTATACAATTGAATCCGAACAAGCAAAAGAATGGAATGGAATGGCTTGAAAAATAAATATACGCTTTAGATGGGTAGAGTTGAGGAAAAGGCTGTAGAGGAGGTATGGAGGCAAATACCAAAGGAATAAGCAAAAACAGATAAGGGAAACAAGAAGTTGAGAACAGAAATTCAGTCACAGAGAGAAACAAAATGAAGATAGTAATTGCAGGAGGCATAGGATCATTCTAACTCGTGGATCAATTAGCTCATTATGGATAAATTGGAGGAAAAGATTTCCCATTTCATGAACAACAGGACAATGGTGACAGATGACAGCATAGTTGATATTGGGCAATGGGGTGGGAAACAATTCAATACTTGAATGATGAGTATAATTTTTGTGAGAATGATACTGAAGTGGTTGTGATATATTAATTTTCTGAGTTGTACGGTATGTCTTTCTGAGCCAAATAAGGCTGAATTCTTCAACTTTCTAGTTTTGTTAATATTTTGATATTTTAATAATATACTCTACCACCCTTCTTATTTCTTCTTTACATAAATATATATAAGAAGAAATAAATATTGTAAAGAGGAAGTTACATGATACTGCGACAAAAAAAGAAGTGTTTTTTCAACAGAAAAACTGGTATAGTGGGGACATGATACAGAAAAAGTGGATAATTTTGTTCCAATATGTGGTAAATTACTTCCTCTAACACATCGGTAGTCAGAATTCATGATTGAGGAGTGATACCAAAAAACTGGTTTATGGAAAATGTCGAAATCCACTGTCTCAATGGACATGTTTTGCCTTAACTATTCATAAGGATTTTGCCAAAAATGAATATTCCCTGAACTTTCTGGTGTGGTTGAAGGCCCTCTGAATTTGAAAAAATTCTTTCAGTTTTGGGGTATTATACATATTGTCCCTGGGACATTTTCTTTAAATTTCTTATAAGAAAGAAGTGAAGTACAGTTACAAAGATAAAGAATTTAGTTTGTAGACTTTTTAATCAAAATGTACTAAAAATTAGTTTTTAATTGCATATTATCAGTAATAAACATACAATCTAATAGCAGTATAATTTGAAAATTATCAATATGGACTAAAATGTGCAATAAACATTTAGCTAAATATACTAGGCCAGATCTTATTTTCTTCTATGTGGATATTGCCCCTACAAAAATATTCAGAGGTAGTTTTACCATCTCATCAATGAATAATTTATAAGATTTGTTTAATGGTATCTGTCAATGAATCAACTTGTTAATAAAATTGTGAAGAAAAAAAAAGTTACTTTTCAATGTACTGTTCTTTCTTAGCAGAGAATCAATGGCTTAAAAATTAGGGTTTCTGTTTAAAAAAAAAAATTGAACCGAAGTTGGGTACCAACTGAGGTGACAGTCATCTTAACCTGTAATTCTTTACAACTACAACAAAAACAAACAAACAAAAAAAATTACTAAGTTTACAACACAAAACTTGTCATGTTTAAAAAATGACAACACAAGCATTATTAAATATTTATTAAAACATAATCCATAGAGATAGCATGACCTAGCCCTGTCAAAGCATATAACTAGGTAACAAACAACTCCAACATACATAAATATATCAAAATGTGTAACATGTTTATTTGAACAGGGAACAGGAATGAAACTTGGTAAGATGTTTACAATCATCATAAATACCAATCTTAGTGAACAAATCCCAAAAGTTTCCTCTACTACAAGAATAATTGGAACTTCTCAAATAAACTTTTTGCTATTAACGGTTAGGAAACTATTAGGCACATAATGATGTGATATACACAAACCAGCCAAACAACTGATGACAGCATTGGATTTTATTCTTAGGTAGTCAAAAACATAATGCTTTGTTCCAACTTCTACTCTTCCAAATGTCAAATCCTCACTGACAATGACAACTTGCACTTAAAAAGTTTATAACTGTTACATAAATATGAGTATAAATATGATGTGCACTTCAAGTAATCAAAAATCTTCCTTTGGCTCATGTTTTCCTGCAAAATCACAAGCCTGAGTAATTTGACAGACCAAAACCCTGTTCTTGTACAGTTGTAATCAACAGTTTGTATGTATAAATACGAGATATGAGCAAGCAGACACAGGAATATCTCAGTCGGCCACTGCTACGTGAAGTAAACAATAACAATGCCAATAACAAACAATGTGAAGATCATTCCACCAAGGAGAATGAATTTGTCTTGGTATGCACGGCGCTCAATTAGTTTCATGGTATGATTAGACAGTCCAAGAGTGTTTGCAATATCATACAAACGCCGATGAGCCCCTTTTATTGTAGTTCTTTGGTCTCTAAGATTTTCCAGAATGCTGGATCCAGATTGTAGCATAACATCCATCCCACGGTTAGCATTCTGGAACAAAACAAAAAGGAATTTAATTTTTAAAATGAAATGTAGTATAATGAAATAATTGAATAAGTTCTTTAGATTGAAGAGCTTAATTATCGTAACAACTTTTTTCAATCATAATTTTCTCTAAAAAAAAATTCCTGAAATAATATTACAATTCTCTTAAATAATAAAGAAATTATTTTTACAAAACAAATTAAATTTTTAAAAAATCCTCTTGATAAAATATTCCAATGAGTGAATCTAATATTAGTAAATATGTTGATACCGATTTACATGAAAAACAAAATTCCATTTCACAGGAATAAACAAAGGTTGTTTTAATAAACTATTTTGTTGATCCATTTGCATAAAATCACAGATTCATTTACACAAATTTTCTCTAATATCTTCTGATTAGGGACAAATCATTTTATATTTTGCGTACAGGAAAAACTTAAATGACTAATTCATTTCTGTGGATTTTCTGAAGTTGCATGTCTGTCTAAAAAACAGGCAACTTTAAAGAGCAACCCTAAAATTACTAATTTTACCTGAAGAGACATATTGTGTTGGAGTGTATGGTCAATGAAGATACTCGTGTCAGCCTCACTGTTCTGGGTGAATCGTCGATTCAACAATTCCTCACGTTCTTGTTCTTCACGCAATCTTTGATACTGACGATGTTGAAACATTCGTAGTCCTGCCTGGAGAACAAGTGAGGTTTGAAACAAAGTGCATTTCTTATATTAAATACAATAATAAAAATATGATTCAAATTATTCTTTTATTTATTTAAAGAACATTCTTAAACATTAAATATCAAAATTGAGATACAATGTTTATTTCAATAAAAGAAAATTCACAGAAAGGACACACACTTAAATGCTATTACATGACTGTGACACAAATATGAAAACTGAGATATTTTCTGAACACACAAATGACTGAAGATAATGAAAAAATGAATGATGATAATGAAATCAGAAGATTTTAAAATCGTTCAATGAAATGTGGAAGCTAACTCTTCACTGGCCTGCTTACCTGCAAGTGCTGGTTGTCATACTTCAATTGATCAATTCGCAGTTTTGCATTTTGCCTGCGCTGCACAGGCTCCTTGAAGAGCATTATATCCAGCTTTTCGCAATTGCTGAAACATTCCATACGGATAACATACGTCCACATAGTTTCATAACCTTACATCATATGGTTCATACCTTGTAATCTGATCTATTCTAGCCTGGAGCTCTTTTTCGACCGACTCGGTATTAGCAGAATTGACCTTTTCCAGCTGTGAAAAGCGATGTTGAGTTTCCTGCACCAGTTTATTAGTCTGATGGTACAAGGATTCCATGGCGAAGGTTTAGTATTTCACTTAACTACAATGAGTTCAATTTGGTTCACTACGAGATAGTTTCCCACGTCACACTAAGGCAACGAGAAACGGTCTCCTCTCCAAACATGCCACACAGTCATTCTGCTAGTGTCACGACACTCCTGCACTGAACTAATGGGATAAGCAAAACACACAGACCACGGACAACATACTGACGTTCACTGACGCGTCACCGGTCGCATCAGCATTCGCCACCTCCACCTCGTTTGTTGTATGTTCTCAGGGTCCTCGACGAACATTTGCTCAAACAACTTTTCCTTGCTTAACGCACGTCATGAACTACATGTAAATATTTTATATGTGTGTTGTAATTACATCAAAGGGGAAAAACACCGAATCCATCGATATTTTTTTATGGTAGAAACGTTGAAACAGTATTCCTAAATGAAGTGACAGGTATCTCGTCTATCATGAGTGTATTGGTATGACTGTTATAGTCACAGGCGGCGTTCTTAAAACCTTGCCTCATTCGTTACTTTTCTCTGATCTTACTTTCGTACTTCTCGTTAATTGAACATTGCGGTGGCGGCACCTTGGGTTAGGTATATGATGAAAATATAATAGTTTACACGTATATACATTTCGCACACAATCAAATTTAAAAGTCTAACATTTGTAAGCATTTTTAATCGAAGTATAATACGAACTTGTCATAATGAACAGTTACATTCTCAATATTGGCGTTTCATAACAAACGCCCGAGCTATCTGTCTCGTTTCCTCTCTTCCTGCTTCATCTCACGCACGCATAAATGAAGAAACAATCTCGCCCATGGTGCTAGGCCATGGCTGTAAAGCTCCGCCGCACCGATTTATGCTCGTTCTGCGCAGCACCAGATGCGTCACGAACCACGGGACCACACAGCACACACCACTAGCACTTCGTTTGAAAAGCCAGGTCAGACGTCGCCGGTCGCCATCACTCAATGCTTGCGACGGCTTTCGTTTAACGAAGCCGATCGTACCTGTCAAGCCTTTCGTACCAAAGACGCTCCGGCAACGCTAAAACAATTAGCTCGACACGTTCTCACTATAGGACAAAGAAGACTAACACTCTCCTCTGATATTCTGAGAGCGCAGTGCAACACAAAAGCAGATTTGGTTACTGACTAAGGTCCGACGCGAACCCACATCAGCCACTTACACATAGCAGTAAAACTCGAAATGCATGGGAACTGCTACATAACTACAATCACACAAACCTTCGGCTAAGCCGAAAAAGAAAAAAAATGCTGGTCACCTTACGGCATGGCAAGCGAGCAATGAGACGAAGCAGGAAGATGGGTAACAAGACAGTTCGGGTGTTTGTAATGAAACGCCAATATTGAGAATATAGCTGTTCATAATGAAAAGTTCGTTTCATACATTATACAATTTCTGAGTGCCATAAAGTAACAATTTTGAACAGTAACCAACCAAAAATAACACGATGGACCTTTAGTTGAAATGAAAGGCAATAAACTATTGCTAAGGCTAAGATTTCTTCCTTTCTAAGAAAGCTAAGTAGCCTAATTTTTGCATTCTCTGAAAGTTCTGGTAGAACCGAAATTACTTACTTTAAGTATATTACAGAAGAGTGAAACTTCGTTCTTCATGGAAATTTTCGTTGAAAAATAGGGAGCTATTTTTAAGAAAATGTTAAAGCTTTTCTGTAAATGCAAAATTCGAAGCTTTTTTTCACAGAAAACTTTTGACTTTTTCACAGAACTTCCCTGTCACAAATGCAATAACGTATATAGATTGCTGGTAAGATATTCATGGCGTGAGAGATATTTCAAAAGTAGTGGAGCTACAACAGCCCATACTTTCTCACGTTACTGGAAATATTGCATTTTCTGCTCTAACACCTCAACTGTTGTTTAAAAACATCCAATTCAAACAAAGTGCCTATAATGCATATCTGCAGCCATTTAAATAGTTAGGAGTAGCAATTATTTCTTACTTTGACAAATGAAACAAATAGGAATGCATTTGAATGACACAGTATTCGCAGCAAATTATCCAGAAGCGCTGATGCCAGCGCACCGTTGTCAAAACTATGTACATTGGCTAGGCGAATAATATCAATTCTTGGCAAAACGCTTATTTTCATCTGTATTCAGATTTCAATTTGTTTATCGGTTAGTCATAGTACACCATACACAGTTGATAAATAACTATAATTCCAATAAACTAATTAAACTACGAATATAGTACGATTTGTAATGTTAAGTTAACCCATTTCTGCCAAGCATTAGATATATGTAACGCTGGGTTTGGCAACGTGTGGCAACATTGAAACGATTTCCAAAGCTTGATTTTTATATCTGTGCAGTTTTTGGAGTCTATTTTTGATTAAACAATTAGAATATGTGCTTCAATATCCTTTGTTATGGTGAACTTCAGAAAGTACGTTTTTCCCGAATAAATTTAGAATCTTAATTTCAATATCCTGTATTATTAAACATGCTGAACTTTGCAATGAATTTAGAGAAAAAAAATAAGATCTTAAATCTTCAACAAATTTTAACTTAATAATTTATGTTACATATATGAAACGCTAGACAGATTATACCTGATGTTCTCCACTTTCTTTCACGAATCTTTATGCTCATGAAATAATGAAACTCTTAGAAGAAAGAGATTGTTTAGATACCATAGGCCTTTTTATTGAACCTCCTGAACCAAATGTCGAATCCGATGAAGATTCTGGCGAGGAAGACAGTGGCGGAATGTTTGATAACCTTGGTCCTCGACAGCTGGAGCAGAAGCTGTTCTATCTAATAATGACAAGATAGGACTTGAGCAACACGATGATGTACCTTGATAGGATAGGTTTTGAGCAACTCGTTGATGTATCTTGTTGATACACGATGCACGATGATGTATCTATAAAAAGGTTAACTAGAAAATTTGATATTTCACACTTTTACAGATAAAACCTTTCTTATTATTTTGATTTTTTTGAGTTGATTAAAAATAATTAGTAATTTTTTAATAATAAATTTTGCCCTAATTTTTCGACATTTGTCGACAAACCTTTTTTTAAAAGAATGTTTATGTAAAAGGTCAATTTATTGCCAATACTACAAAAACTGCATCCAGTAAATTTCAATACTTTGTGAACAATAGTTTCTGAGAAAAGGTACATTAATTACAAAGTAAGTACATTTTCGTGAAACGCTACTTGAAAAAAGTCTGTACTTGTAGAACATTCCTTCTCCGAACATTCCTTCTGGATCATCTTGAGCGGAAAATACCAATGCTACCACCGTATGATCAAGAGCATGTTTAATTAACGCATTAACAACCCATTGTGCTTTTAAAAAATGCCACATACACTGTGCCAAAAAAGTATGCAGTGTCAAAAAAGGAGCGTGGTTCATGCGCACTAGGACATACCTCGTAATAAGAATTAAAGGGACTACCAGGTGTCACAAAATAAAAACGTTGATTGGAAATAGCAAGGTTTGAACTATTTAGTCAAAAATCGACAATTTGATCCATTTCGTGATATCTTTACGCTTTAAATGAAAGTAATATCTCTTTTTCAAGACAATAAGAAACAATTTGGGCCTTAAAGGTCTAATTTTTGAATGAAAAGTTGAAATTAGTACAGGCTGTTATGAAAAACATTTCTTTGGCATAGGTTTCTTTAAGTTATCGAAGAAGAAATACGATTAATGAACCTTTTTCTTTTATTCAATACATAGTAATTGGTTTTAAGAATCAGATGATATTGAATATAACACATCTCACCGGACATTCTGAAGAGTAAATGATTAAGGGGGGGGGGGGAAGTGCTGCAGAATTTGTCGCAAACAGAAGTACTGGATCTCGGACTTGGAGTTAGGCTGCACAAATCACGTTATTGTCAGTACAGCAAGTTCTCATCAGGCTCCTTCTCACGTCGCAGTCGCAATTCCGAACACCGCGGCTCGTAGCAGAGCATTGGTTTCAATGGAGACCTTTCCACGTACGGCGTGTTTGCGCCGCTGTGGCGTTCGGCGCTGGACTCTCGCTACGAGATGCACAGGAGGGCATACACGCCACCGCTAGCAGAACACGGCTTCAAATGACGGTATACCCACTGCGCCGCCGATCTCTTTTGCGGTCCCTTTGTTCATCGTCGCCGGAGGGCCGACGAAACCTACTCCTGCAGAACCCACACCCTTCCACGGCGGACGGCGGTGGCGGCGTCGGAAGAGCCTTGCCGCTTATCGGAAACGTGCCGCTGTGGCGACGTGTGAAGGGCACGAGCGAAAACCGCGACTTATCAAATAGTTTCTAATCATTTCTAAGAGGATAATTTGGAAACACAAGCTCGACTAAATAAAACAACTATATCTTATCACCGCCACCATCTCGACGTTCAACAACAATGAGCTTTTCAAATATCGATTGTGGCATTGTTTCGCAAATTTCACTTAAGCTTTGCGAAATGCTTGAAAGAAATAATCAATCCATTAAGAATACAAATTGTAGAAATGTGAAAGTGTCAGAAAGTAAAAATAGAATTAACATTGGTATTTTTAATTGTAAATTATAAATAAATAAAATAAAATATTTTTTATATCAGTCATTCAATTGTTCTCGCGGCCCATAGTTGGTGTGACACCTGTATATAGATTTCAAGCAGAAATTATCCCAAAATTGCTCGTTTTTTCAAAAAATTGTACATGACTTTTTTTAAAGACTCTATTTTAGTTGTTCGAAACTTTCTAAGTCCTCTGCCTTTGTAAGTTCACAAGATCTGTAATTAACTGGGGCGAGTTATAAATCCCTCGGTTCATTACCTCAATTGTGGATTGCGAACTTTAGACAATTGCAAGCCACCCTTCAGTTGTGGATGATCCAAAGAATAGGGTTGCTATAAATACGTGTACTGTGGGTTTACCATAGGTCCTCTTTTACAAGGCAGAAAAACTTGTCAGGATGGATTTTAAAAGAAAGGTTGAAATGTTCTCTTTTTTTAGTAGAAGGGGGAACTAATTGTAAATTGAACCACGACGTATGATATACAAAATATACTGCGCTTTTTTCAACTTTTTTGAGTCTCCTACTTCATCACGTTTCTTTGTTGTATAAATAAATTACACTTAACTTCAACTGTCTCACCTAACGACCACCAGAATCCATAGACCAACTATAACTACATTTATGTTCTTTACTCCATGAAATGCGACAGTCGTCAGGTAGTACATCGTATTTGTAAACACATATGAAAGGAAACA